CCTTCTTTGCATCTGAGACTGTGTGCTTCCATTTTTAATCCAGACTTACTTTACAGCACATTTTTGAATAACCTAGAGTATTCATGCAAGTAGAGGGGAGAAGTGATGTAGTACAGAAAATAGGGTGGGAGGTTAGTCACATAAAAGTGACTGATGGCAGCATTCTACTGACGATTACAGGATGGTGTTGAAAGCTGACTTTTTTTTCCCTCTAAACGACCCTAAAATAGAATCATTTAGTAACCCAACAATCTCAAAGCAGAGCTACAAGCAGAGCTGCAGAGTGAAGCAGGTTTTGCTTACATTGTAAAAACTCACAGTTCTTATATGTGCTGTCTTTTCCAGGCCATTGCTGGTAGACCTGTCAAGTCCAATATCACTGTCCACCTCCCTGCTGCCTTAAAACAAGCTGCGAAAAATGTTAACAATGTAGCCTGCACTTTCTTCAAGAACATCTCCCTGTTACAGGTAAGGCTGTTTGCCTTCAGTCGATACAGGCACATATGACAGGATTTCAGGTGACCTTATTTAGCTGTCAGCCTGCAATTTTTTCCAGTGTTCACATTTGCGATACTATCTGGAATACTTTTGTTGCTTTGTGTGCAAATATTTATGCTGCATTGTGTAAGATGAAGGTCAAGTTGTGTGTGTTTCTTTCAGGAGGCTCACAAAACTGCCAAGCCTATCAATGATGTGGTGGAAATCACGGTGGAGAACGAGATCATCAGAAATCTGCCTGAACCCATTAGGATAGATTTTTACCATGAAGCCGTATCTGTAAGTTTGTGTGTTTCTGTGGCCTTTAGCCTGTGTCAGTACGCTCCCCACCCACTTTATATTACTTAAAGCTACTTCCTTAAACTGACACTTACTGTACCAAATAGTAACTGTTGAATTGACTGCAATGTGCAGCAGCACAGATGCCAATACACACACAGGCTGTCAAATGTGGCTCAAGTGCGGATGCTGTTAAAAGAAAAACAAGATGGTTTTTACTTCCGTCTGCATATCTACCTCCACGGTGCAGCAAACACACAGAAACCACTTATAGGTTTCTTTTCTAACCTTATGTCTGGCAGAAACAGACTGTTGTTTATGCAATTTTATTGCATCTGTGCAATGCACACAACAACACATAAAAGCACCTGTGACGTGGATATTCTTTGACATTGTGGTGACATTGCAGCTCATGTCTCTCCCCTCCTTCTTTATTTCAGAAAAGAAAAACAAGGGCATGTGTTTCATGGGACACAAGAAAAGGTTGGAACCATTTAGAGATGAAAATTATGTCCTAATTTACATATTTATCTGTATTTTCGTTTATCATAATTTTCAGCAATGCGGACTGATTTGATATTTCCATGTTGCAGATTCTCTGCAGGTGAACTGGTCGAAGGATGGATGTAAGACAGAACAGAGTGGGGAAAACCACACTGTGTGTCAGTGTAACCATCTGACGTACTTCACTGTGCTGGTGGTGAGACATGCGGATACACTGCTTTTCATACAACAAATAAACAACAGACAGAAACCAATAGTGATGAGATTAGTAATGATTTTTAAAAGATACACAGAAATCAACAGTCTTCATTGTACCAGTGTGTCTTGTGAAGGCCATGTTGCTCACTGCACTGTTTCCTATGGCAGGACCTGAATCGTCAACCAGTGCCCCACCTGCTGGAGCTTACTGTCATTACATATCTGGGATGTGCCATATCTCTGATCAGCTGTGTTGCTCTTATAATATATCTCTGCAGGAAAAGGTACAGATGTTATTTATGTAATATACAATATAGATATTTTTTTTATTATTTTATTATTTTAACTTTCCACTGACTTTCAAGGAGGCGATCAAAGGAGCAGTCCTTGCCCATCCATGTGGGCTTAGCTGTGTCCCTCGCCTTCCTCAGCCTGATTTTTTTCTTCAATGGAGTCCTGGCTAACGTGGGAGGGGAAAGTGTGTGCACTTGGGTAGGAGCAGTACTTCACTACGCCCTCCTCTGCTCCTTCGCCTGGATGGGCATCGAAGTGTTGCACACTTTCTGGTTGGTCTACATGGTCTTCACCCCCCGCCTGAAGCCCTACATTTGGAACCTAGTTGGTTTTGGTGAGTTTCATTTCTGAAATGTATCTCAGGACACATAAAGGTAAAGCACATGTAAGACTCTTGATTATTCTTTTCCAGCTCTTCCTGCTGTTCCCGTTGTCATCCTGGCTCCAATAGGTGATATTTATGGGCTCATAGAGGTGCCACCAAGCGAAGACCCTGAGAATCCATATAAGATGTAAGCCTTTCCTTATCTGATCTAAAATTATTTGGAAAGTGAATAAATACAAGCACATGCTTGTATTTAAAATCATGCTTTCAAGGCAACAGCAACACATTTCAAGGGGATTATGGGAATCTTTAATAAAATGCTGAGCATATTTTGAACATCATTTGGCCTTTATATTTGTATTTTTATTCTGGATTTTTTTTTCTTTGTCTTCTGACTGTTTGATTCTTCCAGGTGTTGGATGGATATAACTGAGAATAAAGGCTGGCTAGCTTTCTGTTTGACCAACATGATGACTCTGGCCCTCCTGGTGTCATCTGGCCTTGTGATGCTGTTCCTGGTCTACAGGCAGATCCGCACCAGGGATGAATGGAAACAGAACCGAGTGGCATTTCTCAGCATATGGGGCCTCAGCTGCTTATATGGGACCACTTGGGGTCTGGCCTTCCTTAAGTTTGAGCCCATTTCTACCTTTATTCTCTTCATCACCTGTATCCTCAACTCATTTCAAGGTCAGTGCTTTTGCTGTACAGTGATTCCAGATTACACTTCAGGTTTAAAATGAGATGTTATACTTAAGGACAAGTACCATAAGGATATTTTGCAGACCATCACGTGATAGATGAGCAGTTCGACAGTCATGATGACTGAGAGATGCTCTCACTCTCATACATTCTCCTACAGCTGTGCGAACACTGAACTGCTCCTGATAAGACAGCTCACATGGACTCTTTGCTTTTCAGACAAAAACCAACATGGCCACTCACTTGTAAATATCCAGCAAAAGAAAAAAAGAAAAAAAATTAAACTGAGGCATGAAATGCCATGCATCTTCATCTTTCAAAATCCTTCGGGAGTTTCCAGAGGCATTATATTATGCTGGATGCCCCTAATTTGCATATAGAACCCTACACCTCAACTTTATGCAAATAAGGAATGTGTACCTCAACACCACATAGCCTGTAACACAATGCAACTTTACCTCAGTGTGTTATGTAGATGTTTTTGTAGCACAGTAGATGGAAACAATGGAAATGACAGACTCCTTGGACACATGCCATTGGCTTTGCAAACATGATGAGCTCATGTTTATGAACTACTTTGCATTTGTTCTTATTTATGATTACATTCCAGAAAGCTGTCAAAAGAGGATGATGATGCTTCTCAACAATAAATTACATCATTGTCATCTAATAAATACACAGATCCAAAGAAAAAGTGACTTGGAATAATCTCCATGTGCTTTTATAGCTTTTAACTATTTATAGTCGGTTGTTGGATGGGAGTATATTCATTGTTGGCTCATACACTGTGACTGTACATGTGGAGCCAGTGGCCTATTGTATCAGTGTGGGAATGAGACAATGGCCATGATTAATCAAGGCCTTCAGTTGCTGTTGCCTATCAGAGACAAAGCTGTTTCCTCTCACATGCAGCATGCTTGTTTTTGATTCAGCACCAAATATGTGATTTATTAACCCCATTATTGCTGCATAGTGGTATCACAATGTGTTCTATGCCAGCCATATAACATGCAGTGGCTAAATGCTACATCTGTAAATGACCCTACCTACAGGTGTATTATTTTCTTAAACACAGAAACAATTTAGAGCCCAATCTAGCTGTTTGCTGACATGACATTATCTACATTTATAATGGCTGTACGTTTGTATAGAATAGGATTCTCTGCAACTTCCTTGTTGCTAGCACACAAGCTTGGAATGGTACGAACACAAAGACCATCTGATCCAAGCAAAGGCAGGCAGCATAGAAATGACTAAACTATGTCTCGTTACAGTAAAACAAGATTAAAGATTACTTTTAAACTGAATCGTTATGATATCATTGTAAGAACTACCACATAAATGATACCACAGATTATTCATTTGTAGAAGAGCTGTATTATATTTTTGTCAGCAGAAGTTGTTGTAAATAATATGGTTTATTTTTTACAAAACAGAATATAATTTTTCATTTTCTGTTCATCATTTTTAGAGTCATTGTTCAGCTACATCCAGGCAGCTGATAAAAACATGAGTGTATTGGTTCACCTCTGTACACTGTAAAATAATTTATTTTCAAAAATTCTTTAAATAAAAAAAATAAAATTATGCAATATCTTTGAGTTAAAAAAATATTTTAAGGCTTTTGAATGATTTTAGAAACACGTGAAGTGAGCTGTTCTGCTGAGGAATGGTGGCATTTACTGCAAATAAGAGATATTAAAGGCTCATTTTTTATGTAGTATATCTGAGAACATTTTGCCACTGACTTACTGCAAATCATGCTCGTTTCCTGCTAGCATATTTACTGCAAATTTTCTGTCCCTATCACACTCACGTCAAAGATATTTTAAAACAATCAGATACTGTGGCAACTGAGTAAAAACAATCCATTTTGAATCTTGGTTTCTCGTCTGTCACTCACAGGTTTCTTCCTGATGCTGCGATTCTGCATGCTGGACTGGATGCAGAAGCAGGCTGGTGGCTCTGGTCTTGGCAGCAGCAGCACCGGATCTACCAGGCAGCACATGCTCCAGGCCCAGGAGAAGAGTTAAATGAACAAAGATGCAGAAGCCAGACTTTGAATGTAAAAATAATGCCAGTATACCACCAGTGATGGAGGAGCTGGAGGTTGACCAGGACGTTTCTCCTGGAGGATTATTCTGATGAAATGTGTCTGTCAGGGGTGGTAACTGCAGGAGAATATGAGCTACAGCTAAAAAAAAAGGTACAGCAGGTTCTCCATATATCCTACGTTTCTTAACTCTGTAACTCGGTAGTAACGAGCACAAGTTAGCTGTACGGGCAAACACAAATATGACCTGCTGTGTAACTGTAAAAGTGAAGATGGGTCAGTATTCCTTCCCAAACATAATCCAGCTGCTGTAACTTCTCAAACTTTGAGTGTGCAAACCTTTTTTATTCACTCTAAATTATTTATTCTTGAGCTTGTGTTCTATTTAGTAATCATTACAACAGGAGAAAAAAGAAACATTTTACAAAATATATTTGCTGTTTATTTATAGCTCTATATGTCACACATTCTGAGTTATAATTAATTTTGGTGGCGATTAGCTAAATATTATATATCAATAATTCACTCAAGTTGCATTACAAAAAGGCATTTAATCACTTGATTCTTCTAATTTAGGCCCGTGGCAAAGAAATGACAGTATCACTCAGGAACTCCTTAATCAGGCCTAAAGCCTGCGTTTGCAGAAAAGCTAGACTGGCTCTAGTTGTACAGGAGGGGGATGTCAAAGTTCAAACTAACGTATGTGAAATTAGAAATTGTAAGTTGGAAATAATTATGAATTATTCCCAACACGGAAATTGCGAGCAGGAATAGATGCAGGTTACTGTTCTATTGTATATAAAAAAAAGAAAGCTATATAATACTATTGACGATGTTTTGAACTTTAGATAAGCTTTTTATTTTATATTTTGTATCATGTATGCTTTTTTATAGCTGCTTCCTAAGTTGTTTAAAGTAGCACTTTAGATTTTCGGTCATTTAAACATGTACTTGTTGAGCCTCAGTGAGTTTTCTTTTGAACTGTTTTAATGTGCAGATGGTAAATTCCATATTGCATTTGTCCACACTGTAAATTAATAAGTGAATATTTTATAAATGAATCCAGAGTGACTGTTTTTCTTTTTTTCAAACCTGATTATCAGACCTTTGTCTTTAAAATGGGCCAAAATGCATTTATTTGGTTGGATGCGTTCCAGTATTAAATAGAAATGTAAAATTGTCATGTATTTCATTGGCGTTATGTTTCAGTCATGTCCAGCAGAACTCACATATGTAAGCTTTTAGATACTGTGATGTTTGCACTTTTTTCAAAATTTAAAAATTAAAATATATGTCACTCAATTTAATGTGTATATTTTGGTTTTCTGGATATATATTGACTTTTAATTAAAAAAATCTTTTGGTTAAAAATGTCGAACTGCTGTGTGTTTGTGTAAATGCATGCCACACTGCACAACAAGAACATTTGCAGCTTGCTGTTTTCCTGTTCCCTCCCTCCCTCTTATCTGCTTCCTCCCCTGGGTTTTGTTTTTTCTTAATTGTTGCTTTCTTGCTGCTTGTTTTCCATCTCCATTGTGATACAGTGCGTACGTATTTGGTGGAAGAAGCCAGCCTGATAGTTCGAAGAAAAAATTCATGGCTTTTCTTAGTGCCTCAAAAGACTTTCATTAATAAATTTCATGATAGTGTTTTACATTTTTTTGCACCATAGCAATAAAATACATCCTTGCTCCTAGCATATGGATGTCACATTATTCTGTCTTTTCAGACATGGTGTCTTTCAGAGGACAGGTCTTTGTTCCAAAGATTCAATGGAAACATTATTTCATCATCCTTAACATGTAATATATTCATAATAAACTAAATAAAACAGAACACTTCACACTGACTTTCCCTATTGAAAGGAATAATAATACATTATATTAAATATGCAGGGCCTAGCCTGGCGACCCCTATTGGATACAGACACCATGGTCAGGAGGGAAGTAGTGTTACCACTATGCCATCCAGCTGCTATATATACACATTGTGCCAAAATCAAGTCTTAAAATCATTATTCAAATTCATTGGTCAATTTTAGTGTTTAAAGGATAAAACGATGATTGAAATTGCATGTATAATTCCTTGAAGCTTAAAAGATCACATTTTGAGTTTAATTAAAGAATTTGAAACTAGCACATGGTGAAAATATGCAAACTCCCCAGGACCCTCGTGATGTGAGGCATCAGAGCTCAAAAGGTTACCGGTACTGTTGCATTACTAAAGAACTTATGACTGGTTGTTTTTGGCTGCCAGCAGTTACTTGCTCTGTGGTGAGCCTTTCATGGTTTTTGCTGTTTAGGAAACAAGACCCATCACTTAAAGTTATTTTGTAATACACTACTTTGTTTTTTATGCATTGCACAAAAGGTCTACAGCTATGAATGTGTCCTGGATTTTTGCGGGTGTGCTGACATGGATACATTTGTTTCATCACCTGACATCTCACTAACAGAATATTGGCACATTCTGTTCAAGTACCCCTCTGCCCCATGCCTCTAACAGGAATGCTCTAATTACACATGTGCTTTTTACACACTCACATCAAGTGCCAAGGGGCCAATATAACTGAGAGAAGTGATTAGGAACATGACAGCAACAACTTGATGATACTATTATTTGTAGCATCCTGTGATGACTTTTTGTCATCTTTTTTGCCTCAGTGTAAACACAATTAGTCCCTCTTTGGTATCGGAACAATGATATGTCGATCATGGGTAAAGAAAATTTCCAGGAGGGATGCATTGGGGAAAAACCAAGCTGGCAGCAGACGTGTTGCAGGCATCACACAGTGTCTCCAGGCTCTTTCACGTCTGTCATATACATTTAGTGTTAACCTGTCCTCGAAGCATGGTGCACTGATGGTAGATCTGTAAGTTCTAGTGTTCTCTAACAAATGCCAATTGAGCTGGATTGTGCTTGTCTGTGAGCACAAATAAAGAACGCTGGGCCCTCATGCAAAGTGTTAGTGTGATCAGAAATATATGCACCCGAGTAGCACACTGGAGGACACTTTCTGCTGTTACTCTTTGCACAAAGGAGCAGATAACAGCACTGCTGCTGGGTTGATGTCCTACTACAGACATGTCCAGGTCTTTTTGTCCATTGCCTGCCACCTGGTACCTCCTCCACACTCCTGAGACTGTGCTGGGAGACACAGCAAAGCTTACATTGGCCTGGATATGCCATCCTGGAGAAACTAGACTACCGTTGTAACCTGATTGAGTTGTCGGTAGCAGTAGTGACAAGGAACCTAGAAAATGGTAGAGAAAGATCAGTCAGAAAGGAGCAATGGTCTGTCACCACTAGCTGCAAAGTCATTCTGTTTTTCTTCTCCACTGCACCTGTTGCATTTATTTGCACTAACGCTGGTCCAGTAGATTTCCAACGATTTATGGTTCCTAACTGGACAGGATGATAACTTAACTAACTTTAACTTTAAGTTATACTGTGAAGATCATGTTTCTTTCTTTCTTTCTTTCTTTCTTTCTTAGCAATATATTTGATTTTGAGCTCTTAAAGTGCTAAAAACATAGCAGAGCATCTGATGTCTTATGTTTAAAATTTCCTTGCTTAGTGCTCAAACCAAACTTACGCCCACGGTGATGATATGACAACATAACGTTCTCTGAATGCGTTTTCTTTTTATTTATGTCATAGTCTTCCTAACAGATATGTTCGTACACGTATGCGCAGTTATATACGAAGAGCCAAAAATACTGCAAGATCACGTGACGACGTCTCCTCCTGAGCAGCAGCCGGTTGTTTACGGGGTGATGAGGACGCACTGCTGGCCAGCTGTCAAAATCATTAGACAGGAGGAAAACCAGCACAGGTACCACTTGGGAGCACGGCTCTGAACCCGTCGTCACTTAGCGGGCATAGTTTATGTTAAATGTGTTCGTGTTCGGAAGTTTTAGCACTATCTGAATTTAGACCGAGAAACGGGAGAAAGGGGGAGTCCGTTTGCTACAAGCTAGCCGCAAAGAGGCGAGACGGTACAGGAGGTAAGAAGCTCCGCATTCAAAATTAAAGCCAAAATTACAATTAGCCAATTCAGTTCGTGAGAAATTAAAGCTGTGTTGCTTGATAAAAGATGGGGAATTTCTGCTGTTAGGGAAAAACAAAACAAAGAAAAAAAGCAACTTCATGGTCAAAGAAAATCAAAGCTATGATATGCAGTGAGTCGGCTCAAACAATAAGCTAACAGGCTAATATAATTTGAATAGTCTCATGTTCTGTTGTTAACATTAAGGTAAACTAGACCAATTTTTTTTCCATTTTATTAATTGTTACACTTTTTTGTTCGTTCACTATATATCACTATTCACCGCGCACGTATTTTCATTTTTGAATTGAGGTAAATGCTTAGTAACGAAAAACCTGATGAACGTGGATTTGACTGATAAAATTGACAACAAAATGTAGCAAGGTTGCCTTGAAAAATAAAGAGAGAATGTGCGAGAAAATAGAGAAAGCCCTTTTCTACCAGAGATGCACTAGATGGTTGTAACTTTATTTTGAAAGTCTTAAGCGGAAATAAGGTTATTGTTTTAGGAAGAAAAAACCGGCTGCTGCTGTTTTGCGTTGACAGATGTTTTATTTTGACTTTGAGGTAGGCAGGGGACTGGCAAGAGAGCTATTAGATCATATCCATATATAGGTTAATTCTCTAGCCTTAAAAACAACATTTTACAGATTTAATTTAAGAAGAAAAAAAATTCACATCATTATTTATTAGATTTCCAACAAATGTATTTCACAAAGGAGGGAATAACGTGTCATTGAACGTGCTGCTTTTGCTCAGCACAACGTTTTAGAAACCAAAAAACCAAAATTAAAGATTGTTACGGTGGTCCACTCTAATAATTATATAAAACAATAGACATATTGTGACTACAGCAAACAAAAAAAAACCAAACCCTAAAAGCCCTGCTTGCTTTTGTTACTAGGGACTGTCTGTTATCGTGTTTACCTGCCTGTAGCTCCTCCTGCACTGCTGAACACACATCTTGAATGGAATGCACGGACAGATAAAACCTTTTTTTGTTGTAATTGCAGAACATGCTGGCATGCTTACATACTTGTTGAGACCAGTAGAATACATGATGTACAGATAGATTTCAGTATGATTCATTTCAACTACTAATTCCTGGTCATTTTTCTTCTATAAAAACTATCCTCCTTGCCATCACGTCTTTGTTGCGCAATGTACAACTGTAAGGCAAAATATAAGAAAGCTTGGAAGCAATTTTGAAATAGTTCTCATGGGAATATTTCTTGATTCTTTTACAAAACAGATCTTCAAAAGCAGGATTCGGCTAACTATTGGTTATGGTTTTTTGGGTCTGTTAATCAAAAGAATATGAAGTGAATGAGGATGCAACTACTTGGTTCATGAACACAATTTTCATCTGAAATGCAGCGATTTTCCTGAACAATAAACATTTTTGTTACCAACCTTATTTTTTAGCCACCGTTTTCAATGTGGAAAACAAAACAATATGTTTATTTTGTTTTTATGTTATACATTGTCTTTGCCTTACATAATTCATCTGTATTTGTTTTTTGTTTTTTTATTGTTTTCTCATGTTTTTAACTAATTGTGAAGCACTTTGGTCAACTCTGTTGCTTTTAAATGTGCTATAGAAATAAATTTGATGTGATTTGATTTGAATGCTATCGATTTTAAACCAGCTTTGGGGTTGCAGTTACTGAAGCTTGATGTACAGTACTGATTATCTAATGGATAAAAATAGCATGGATATGGATTCAGTTCAGTCAAACAATCTAACAGTTGGATATATTGTGCTTGGAAAAATCTTCTGTATATACAGTAGTCAAGTGTTTCTTAACATTGGACAGTTGACCTACTACGCAGTGTACTTTGTTGTTATTTTTATATTTTAGCCTTCTTTTGAAACCACAGGGAGAAAGTTAGTTGAAATCCAGAATATCACCATTGCATGAAAAGATCTCCAAGGGATGCCTGTTTAGTTTTAACTCTCTTTGAATGCTGAATCCTTCTTGTGTTGTGTAATCTTCAGGATCGTTAGCAGAGCTGCATGATACCTGTTGCATTTCGCACATATGGAGATTCACACCACCGTCACCCTTTGCTTTAATGAGGCACAGGCAGCTTAACGCAGCCATGAAGGCAGCTCTATCTCCTCTGTTGTTGAGTGATGAGTCAACAGCTGTGAGCTTGTTTGACTCATTGATTGTTAAATTATCATGAGGTAAACAGGTGGTGTGCTGGTGAGGTTGTGCGTGAGGAACAGATGCCTAATGATTGAAGTGAAGCATGTACCTCACATGCACACAGGCACAAGCAGCTGCCCATTAATGATGATTAATGCAGAATATAATAAGAGTTAATAAGCAGCTCATCATATCAAGTTGTGGTCATGTAATTGAGCTGTAAATTGCACATTCCACACTGACAATACAGAAAGCCACTGATATTCTAAACTGCTTCTCCCATATTCAGACTACTTTTGCAGCCTTATAATTTCTAATTTGGTTTTTATTTTTAAATAATTATTTCCCTTTTAACAGAAGTTAAAGGCTGAACAACCTTCAGCATCCTCCATGCACAACGAAAAAGGTCCATGTCATAGCCTTATAAATTATGTTTCTCCACTTGACTACCTCTGGCAATAAGTGATACCCTGAAAATCAATCACTGGACATTTCTCTGACTGCTGAGAATTTATTTACTCTCTACTTTACCAATAAGAATTTTCTTCTTCTGGTTCTGTTGGACAGGTTGTTTCAGAGGTTCTCAGAAATTGACAAGGGACTGTAGCACACACAGCCGGTCTTCAGTTCTTGCTGGTTTTGCCCTGTTGCAGCGGCACCATGGCCAGCCGTGAAGAGTCCAAGAAGATGAATGGCAATTCTGGTGACTCTTCTACCCTTTTGGAAACACCCAAAGTGAGCATGCAGCTTAAAAAAGAGATCTCATTGCTTAATGGAGTCAGTCTGATCGTAGGAAACATGATAGGCTCTGGGATCTTCGTGTCCCCGAAGGGTGTCCTCATTTACAGTGCCTCTTACGGACTCTCATTAGTCATCTGGGCGATTGGAGGTCTGTTCTCAGTAATTGGGGCCCTTTGTTATGCTGAGCTGGGCACCACAATCACCAAATCAGGAGCCTCTTATGCATACATACTGGAGTCATTTGGTGGTTTTATTGCATTTATTCGTTTGTGGACATCTCTGCTGATTATTGAGCCCACGAGCCAGGCAGTCATAGCCATCACATTTGCAAACTACCTGGTGCAGCCGCTCTTCCCAACATGTGAGCCACCGTATGCGGCATCCAGGCTCATTGCTGCAGCATGTGTTTGTAAGTACTTTAGTTCTGTTTATATCCAACTTCTGTCTGCTCATATCTATCTAGCCTTTTCTGCAGTAGTAAGTGTTCCTTTCTTTCCAGGCCTGCTGACATTCATCAACTCTGCGTATGTAAAGTGGGGCACCCGTGTTCAGGACATTTTCACCTACGCTAAGGTGGCAGCCCTGATCGTCATTATAGTCACTGGCATCGTCAAGCTATGCCAAGGTGAGTGGTGACGACAGTACTCACCGTTTCATGTAGTTTGGAAATTAGGATTAAATAACATCCACAGACAGATGATCCCTTGGCTTTAGTGCTTGTTGGAGGTTTTCTAGGTGTCAGGAAAATGAATTTTGTTTTGGACGCATAATTCATGGAACGTCTATTTGTCAGTTAGGAACTTTTAAATCAGGACTTCAGTCCTGAATTATCAGTGCAGCTGAAGAAAGTTAACAGTGTAGCTGTAAACCCATTCTTGAAATAGTACAGAACTTTCATAAAAATGAATGTATCCTCCAGGTCTTAAAGCAAACCCAATGCAAAAGCAGTCTTGGAACTCATTGGATAGTTCTCTAGTTTACCTGGTCAGGCCAACAACTATTTATGGAGTCTTCAAGTAAAGTCAAGACATCTTCCTCTTCTCTGTGGTGGTCATCGCCTGCAAATGCACACTATTAAAAAAACAAGTTAAAAAAAAAATCTAAATCATCAGATGGCAGCCACCAGTCTCAAGTCCTTCTTTTGATCAGTACAAAGACTGATTAACTTCATCCAAACAAAGTCTACTGTAATGTGTTTGGTGAACAAACCCAAACTATAAACAGAAACCAGAATCCTTCCAGTTCCAAAGAAAAAGTCAATTAATGATAAGGTCTGTATAATCATATTGATATGCATTAATCCTGATTAATGGATTGCTTTAGATTGTTATTATTTCTGAAGGTCAGCAGTGCCTTCAGAAATAATAACACTTCTGCTTAGGAGTAAAGCAGAGATCTTTGCATGAAAGTTTATGACAAATTGACTCTGGATATTGCTTCAGTAAACATTTTCCTAAGGACTTTATGGTCTTAATCGCAAGTTCAATGTCGTAATGAATATGGTATAAAATTTTGAAAATTACAGGTTCATTTAGAATAAAGTGAGTGATAAAGCAGGGGCTACCTCAAGTCAGCTACTAATTACCATACGAATGTGTCCTCAGAATCCTTTTATAACTGCTTGGTGCTACAAAACAAACTGAAATCTCGGGAACCATCAACATACTTCTCGCCAGAACACCTAATGCTGTGTATCTGTGGCATCTTATCACTGTTAATTTGAATGCAATGAGATTTCACAGACTGTTGCTTTGATTGTCATGTTTCCATTTTAGGCTATACAGGCAACTTCGAATCATCCTTTCAGGGATCATCTACCGACCCCGGTGACATTGCATTGGCGCTGTACTCTGCCCTGTTCTCTTACTCTGGCTGGGACACTCTCAACTTTGTAACTGAGGAGATCAAAAGTCCTGAAAAGTACATTTTCTTTTCAGTGTTTTTTTTTTTTTTAAATATTATTATTATTATTTTCCTCAGTAGAAAAGATGTGACAAAAATACTCAGCCTGATCAAATACCCCGTTTTTCCAGGAACCTGCCCATGGCGATTGCCATCTCTATGCCGATTGTCACCATTATTTACATCCTCACTAATGTTGCCTATTATGCTGTTCTGGATGTCAGTGCTATACTGGCCAGTGATGCAGTTGCAGTGGTGAGTAAACAAACTGAAAAGAAGTAGCTAATGAAATGGAAAACTATGCTTTTGTTTGAGTTTAAGTTGTTGAACCAGTTTCTGTTTACTGCTTAGACGTTTGCCGATCACACGCTTGGTGTAATGAGCTGGACCATTCCCATTGCTGTGGCTTTGTCCTGCTATGGAGGCCTCAATGCATCTATTATAGCTGCATCCAGGTAGAACAAACAAATATGCAATGATTTAAGAAGTGCAATAAATATACTGTGGTGATTTCTTTTTTTTTTAACCATTTATTTTTAGGGGTTGATTTATCTTTAAATGGCAGAAATGGTATCCTTTGTGTCCAGGTTGTTCTTTGTGGGATCTCGTGAGGGTCACCTTCCAGATGCTTTGTCCATGATCCATATACAGAGATTCACTCCGATTCCTGCTCTGATCTTCAATGTATGTAAATAGAAATGCAGATTATAGTGGGGGAAGAAACTCCTACTTAATAACAGCTCACTGGGAATCCTGTGATTACTACTCCTTGATTGCATTATTGAAACTCAAGGGTGTCAGTTTCACTTCTTGTGTTGGGAAATAAAAGGATATAATACAAACTGCTATCATAGGCCGTAAACCATAAGGGGCCCTTGGCACACTTGCTCTATTGTACTTGATCAAACTATGAAACAAACTCAGATTCTGGTGTCATTTTCCCCGTCTGCTGTCCAGTGTGTCATGTCACTGATCTACCTGACAGTGGAAGACGTCTTCCAGCTTATCAATTACTACAGCTTTAGCTACTGGTTCTTCATGGGGCTGTCCATCGCTGGCCAGATCTACCTCCGCTTGAAGGAGCCAGACAGACCCAGACCTCTTAAGGTATCTCAGGTTTTCCATGTTCAGTTTGAATATAATGCATGTAATGTTAGAATGTGGGTGACTCATTTTAATTAAATGTAATTATAGTATTAAAAGTAATGAAACAGATTTAATTTGGCTTTATTTAATGCTTTAGAAAAAAAAACAGCTTCTACACACACTTTTCTGCTTTGCCAACATTAGGCTGACTGTTTCACTAATAAGTAAAGTTACAGTAACTGGATGGATGTTATGCTGAGGTATGAAGAATGTCACAGTGTAGGTTTACTCATAAAATCCAAAATAATGATGATGAAGCAAATATTTTCATACTATGTTTTTATTTAGGAGGATCTGTTTTTGAACTCGTGACTCTCTCTGCAGCTCTCATTATTATACCCGGTGGTGTTCTGCCTCTGTACCATTTTCCTGGTGGCAGTTCCTCTCTACAGCGACACCATCAACTCCCTGATCGGCATTGCCATTGCCCTGTCTGGTGTTCCAGTCTACTTCCTGGGTGTCTACCTGCCAGAGTCCAAACGACCACCTGTCATCACTAAGCTGCTGCGTGAGTGCACTACATGGGAAGCAAGAAAGATTTGTCATTTTCACTTAACTTCACCTGAGTCAACTAACCAACACGGTGTTGTCTGTTTTTTGCAGGTTCTCTGACTGACTTCACCCAGTACACCTGCTTCTGTGTGCTGACTGAGATGGACAAAAGTCAATAGACTCTGTTACACTTTAAAACCCAGGAGTTTGTGCATCCTCACAGCCAACAGATGTGGCCTTCAGCTGTATAAAACAAACACTCCTTTGTTGTACTGTCCACTGTCATCTCAGAGTTGTTTACAGCACTGAAGGTGCTGCAACAGATGCACATATTCACCTAAAGATTTTTGTTCTGGGAAAACATTTCAAGGTGCAGTAGAGAGGTGGTTATGCAGTTTATTTATTATGAATCCTTATTAAGTTTAGCAGGTAATTTTATAGACTATATGCCTTTTAAACAGTATATGCCTTTGAGACTTCACTGGTGCTATGAACATGACTGCAGGGACCAGAGCATAATGCAGGTAAATATTCTCTCCTGGGTTCCAACTAAAAGGTGTGAGTGTGTTTAACATTGATCTAAACTATTGGTCTTATTTATTTTCTAATGAAGAAGGGGAGAAAATACTGCTGCTGCTATTTGAGGACAGTGACATCCCTGTAATGTCATTGCCTTTATTTACTCTTGGCCTCATTGCTTGTAGTTTCTTGCTG